GATTACGAGAGAGTCTAATATATTAATATACCTACGTAAAAAGTATATAAATATAGTAGGTATGCACCTAGTTATAAACATATTAGTGGGTTAAAGCCATAGTGGTGTAAGTTGCATTTACCATAATTAAAAAAACAAAAGACTAAATTACGAACTTTAAGTAAATTTCTGAATTAAATTATTACATGAAAGGTAAAATTATGCATGTAGTTTAATTATAATAACTACATAGGTCAAGGTTAAAGGGTACGCTGGGAATTACTGCACATTCATACACAAAATGTATTGCAGTTGAACATGAACGAATTAGTATGACAGTATTGTAGACTAACCAACAAGTGCAATACAATTGCGAGAAAAATTTGCCAAGTGTAAGTTAGGTTAGGTTAACCTAACCTACATATTGGTAAATAACTATGGTCTGTATGTAGACAATATAGATAAGATCTAAAAAAATTTAAAATAAATTATTAACTAATGGCTTAATAATAAATACCAACCCAAAAAGCGAAATGTCAATTTTTTAATTGTTTATTTAGTTAGTTAATAATCAAACATTGGAATATCTAGGAAGTTTATGATAGTGTTTGTACGAGTGTTCATGTGCTTAAATTGTGTACAAAGCAGATGAATGATATACACTGAACTCACGTTACATCACTGTTACGTTAACTCCTAAAACCGCACACTTTTTAAAATTGTTGTATCCAAAAACCGCGCACTTTTGATTTCAATCCCAAAAAGGTTATATTTACCTAGGTTAGGTTTACTTAATAATTTATAATTTATTCAAACAAAAAAAAATGCATGTACGAGTATTGTAAAATGTAAAAAATATAAAAATGTATTCATATATTATAATTATTGATGAATCGAACTGTTCGAATCTCAAACCGAACCGAACCAAACCCTTGATGTTCGGTTCGGTTCGAAATTCGAACTCGGCATAAAAAAAAATCGAACCGAACTATCAAGCATATTTTACTGTTCGAAATTCAAACTTGAAAATATTAGTTGAATCAGACTTACTGGCCACGATAGTTCGAAAACCAAATATTTGTACAATTCTTCAGAATTTATTTTTGAAAAATAAAAATTGATAATGATTATTTAGAAATAATAAGACTATTGGCGATAGAAAGTAATAATCAGTAAAGGGCACGTTATGCATTATTTATAATAATAATGCTATTAATATTATATTAATAATGTTATTTAAAAAATCAGGGTTCGACCCATCACTAATTATAACAATAGGTAAAAGATAATTAATTATTTATATAGATAATTTATCTAGATAATGCTTAATACTGTAAATGACATACAGCTATGGTGCGTTGGTGCCAATCAATTAATGACATACATGAAATAATGGCATCTAGTACTGAATTCGAGAATTTTTACCAAGCGGAAATTAAGCGTTTTGGAGACATCGTAGTTTGTTGTATAAAATTCATTACTTTTATCTATAATCCATCGTAGTATAGGTACCTACCAGTTAAAATTTTAATTTCATTGAACATTTAAATTATGTATCTATTCACTACTATTAAAGATCGAGAACAATATAAATACATTAAATTGATACATATTATATCATTATTTTATGTGTAAAATATAATTATTGTAAAAGTATCTGATATTTATATGTAATTTATTTTTTAGATAGTTGTACTGATGTACAACGAACTCAATATTTTCCTAAGAAAAATAGTTACTGGTATTTGTACCTGCAGCCCACATGCGATTTTCATACTTTCACTAGTTTTCCATAGTCCTATTGTTATCGCCTGTATTAAAAATAAAATAATTATGGCAACTGCCATATAAACTAGTATACTTTCACTTGATGACCGCATACTAACAAAGAATAATTTCGATCTTCGATTGAATAGCTTTTAGGTACAATCAACACGCAAACCTCGTGTCACTAACTGTGATTTTTCTATTCAAAAATACAAATTATGGTGGTATTTTTAAGCTTTTGTAAAAAAATATATATCCATATACATTTACATTAATGCATTAGTTTATATTAATTTCTGGTAATATTGATAATATTGATTTGACTTAACATGGGAATATAAATATTTTATAAAAATTAAAAATTGCTTGAATAATATTTAACCTAGTTTGGGTAAAATGATAAGTTTTTTCCCCTCGATATTTTTTTTGGAGGGGCAACTGCTCCCACGTGCCCCCCCCCAAATGCCATCTATGACCTCTGCATACATCTTATTTGTATATGGCTATGCACCTCTCCTCCCTTGTGAATAATTTCTGGATCTGTTCCTGATATATATTAAGTATGGCATACATATTTACATTTTAAAACTATAAAACTATTATTTTTTATATCCTTTATGTAATTTTTTTTCCGTGTTATTGTGTACTTGTATGCAATATAGAAATGAAATGGTTGTATATTACATCTCTTGCCATGCAGGTATGGCGGGACGAATTTAACAATTTTCTGACCCTATGCAAAATTAAATATGCTGCTGCTATCCAGAAAAAAATAATATCTATATAATAAAATATCCTTAAATACATTTTTATTGATGGATGGACAACTATCGATTAGGTAATTCTATAAAATTATAAATGGATAAATTCTAGAATTTAATTATCAAATAATCGTTGTAATATTATTATTAACAATAATAATAAGGTAACACACTAATGCCCCACTCTTTGTCAAACTAATGAATGATGAAATTGAAGGTACCTATACGCGATGAACCTGTACCAATAACGCCATATCCAACAGTTTCAATAAAGTGAACATTTGCCTAGACTCCGGTATATATTATGTATTTCTAGAATTTGTTTATATTCTAAATTGTATAAGATAAGTTATAATGAATTACCTACAATCGTCGTCCTTATTATCATCGAGTTCCTGGGAAAAAATGAATATTACTTTGCTAAAAATAAACAAATACAAAATCCTCAAAATTTGTAATGGTAATATAAATTTTAAAAAATATGTAGTTGTCGCCGCTCTATACGGCTGCATATTTAACAGTACCTTAAATCCGCCCCTAAATGAATGTGATGCAGGCCCGGATTAACACTATCGTAGGCCCTAGTCCTTGCAGGGCCCGTTGTCCAGTATTTAAATGGTTAAGAAACCTTCTCTTTGGGAGAGGAAGTGTTGAATTTCATGCAGTGTTAAGCTTTTAAAAACAATAATATTTACAACATAAAAATCAAATCTAAATTTTTACATGATAACTATTATACATTTTTAAACAATAAAAGTTTTAATAAATGTTAAAAAAATTTATTTCAATCCAAAACATATTTAATATAAATTGTCAAAAGCCATAAATTTTTTTTTTATACCAATTTGCATACTACAAAAAGTCGTAGCCACACGTTTTCGTAGGCCCTAGGTACGGTGCCTATAATACTTATGCGCTAGTACGACCCTGATGTAATGGAATGCAATTTAAATTGGCGTAAGTAATAAGTAGCAACTAGTACTCTAACGTACTACAGATATAATATTAAGTTTCTTTATTAGTTTAATAATATTAAAATTCTTTGTAAAAATTGATTAATACAACAATCAAATTTTAACAAAACAATTTTTATTCTGATGGTTCTTTTGCTAAGATCCTATATAAAGCCTTAAGATTATATGTCATTATTAAGGTATCCTACATACTTATATCACAGATTAAATAAAAATAGTTTTAAATGGTTTTATTTTAATCTGTGCTTATATACTGTTTTGAATACAGATTATATGTCATTATTTCCTGTACCATTGTAAATGTATTTAATTATGTACAGTGGCAATTTAAGTAATGTATATTCATTGTTACCTACTATGCAATTAAAAATCACATTTACTATATTTTAAAAGTCAATAATCAACATTTTACAAATACTTATAACTCTATGCTGTTTTCTAAAGCTAGAAGATAACCATTAGTTATTACCAATGAGTCACAAATTATGAAAAAAATATTACTTCATATACTCGTATTTATATATATAAAAAAAAAAAATAAAAAATTAGAAAACAAAGGTGTTTCAATATTTTGAAAAATCTAAAATATACTTATGTTATCTTCAAAATATTGTTAGATATGTACACTATAAGACTAATATTAAACTTAATGATCATCAGATTAAAAAGACTAACTATTTGTAGTTAGTTTTAACATTCTAATGTATAATAATCTAACAGAACACAAAAAGTTACTTAAATTTCCTAAAAATGTAAAAAATGGTTGGAAATAGAAACATTCATCTGTACTAAGGTAAGATTTATCAGTATATGCAACCATCTATTATTATAAAAATTATTTTAAAAAAAAGGCTCAATTTTTAATAGCAAAATAATATTTAAATAGATAGTCAATCATATACAAAGGTTAGGAATAATTTCATGTTTGTACTTAGAATAGAACTACCTATATTTAATATCTTGTACAGTACTAAAAGTAAAAATTAGTTCAAGAATATCAAATTGGAACAGCACTTCTTTGTATTTCATGAAATGGTCAATTTCATAAAGTAGATACGACATGTTTAGTGAAAGTAATTTTTCACCATTTTAATTATATATGTATGTAATTTTTTTTGTTTGAACCGACTGCAATAAGGGAACAGGTTTTCCAATAATTCTCCAAATATGTATGTAGATTGTAGATACCATGTTAGATATCATCTGAACATATAAATTAAAAATATAATATATTTTTACCAATTTTAGCAACACCAAATATTTTTTAATACTTCATTTACATTGTTATAGGTATTTTTGAGCTTTATTAAATGTATTTTTAAATAATAAAATAAATAAAGTGAATTATAAATTAGACATATAAAATAATTAATCATATATATAAAAAAAAAAATAATTTTAATCAATAATTTCATATTAAATAACAACAATATTAATATACATAACTAAATGCAACTCATAATTTTTTTTAAAATTACATTTATGTTTTTGAGGATATCTGTTCATAAATTTAAATAGTAAAAATATACATATAAATTAAGTCATCATATACTAATCTTACATTGAAATAAATAAATATAAACTGTACAACTTTGGTAATGAACACATAATGTGAATTATAAGTTACTCACTAAACTTTTCCAGTCTTTCTTTCATATAATGCTGAAACACATTCTTGAATATAATGCAAACAGGATGTTTTTATTAAAAATCCACCAGCAATTTCTTGGGGATTTTCCTCTCTGATGTATTTCAAATAACCCAATGATTCAAGTTGTGAAATTTCAGGGCAGGAAGGACCATTAAGTTGATGAGAAACTGGTTCATATTTGAATAATGGACCTTCTTTAATTTGGATTGATAGAGAAGGCTGGTTAAATTTGACACCAGTTGAAAACTTTGTAAAGTTAATTGGTGGTTTAGAAATAGATTTAGGTTTAAGTACAGGAATCTCTTCCTTTTTATGTACATATGTATTTACAATATCTTTAGCATCAGAATTAGAACATGCCAAACTATCAATCAATTCTGCATCAACTCGTAGCTTCTTATTTCTTTGCTCAGCTTCATCTCTTAATATTTCATCTCTTTTATACTGAGAATGCATTTTTTCTTCTTCTATCAGTTCATCTAAAGCTTGTTCTTCACGTTTCAATTTCATTCTGTTTCTCATAATTATATCTTTATTTTGTTTTTTATATAGCTCAATTCGTTCTCTTGTTTCAGCTACATTTATATTTTTAACTAAATTATAAATAATATCTTCAATTTCTACTAAATAATCATTATAATCATCTATATTATCAAAATCATCTTCAGTCTTGTTGTAATCTAGCAGTACTCGTTTTCGTGTTTCTACTTCAACATCAACTGAAGCATCTTCAAACTGCTGGAGCTTAAAACCATTACGCCTTAGAGGTATAAGACATTTAGGGCAGGGGCCAGAACCTGGAAGTTATAAATAAATGTATTAGAATTATTTCATAGTCTTCAAATTGTATATTTATTTAAATCATATCTACCACAAAAAATGAATAAATAAAGGTATATGCTGTAAGACATATAGATAATACATGAAATCTATTACAAATACATTTTTCAGTAATCTTATAAGTTTATTTATAATAGACTAAGTTTTAAACAGAAGTAGTGAGTATTAACCACAAATGTAACTTATATAAATAATTTTAAGAGTTATCAAAAATAATATTCTAAAAAAATTAATTATTTTTAATTAAGAGGGTAAGACGGAAAATAAAAGTGTTAGGCAAATTGGTAATGCAAGAAATCTATGCAAGTTTAAACTTTTGCGACCGTTTTGACTTTTAATATAGGCATAGTTTTGAACAGAGATTGTTAATAATAATCATAACTCTGTCTTTGACTTGCCAAAATTAATATAAAATATTTTTGATTACTACCAGTATACATCATTATAGTAAGTTAAAAATAAAAATATGCAAAT